CCTGCAGTCTGTACCAGTTTGACCATGAATTAAAATTCCTTCCTGACCTCAAATATGGTGATCAGTCTGATCCTGAGCAGAGGGTCTAACCCTCTAGCCAGAAACATTTGTACTTTAGTCCCAGCTGGAGCACTGGAACACCCCAGTCAAAATCCCCAGCCTTGACTGCAGCCAGCGCCAAGTAAAGAGCACTATCACCTGTCTTGCAACTAATGCTTCTATTGATGTAACCCAAAGCCACATTTACTTTTTTCACAGCTGTGTCACACTGAAGACTCTTACTGAGTCTATGATCCACCAAGACTCCCAAAGCCTTCTCTGTAGTGCTGATGTCCAGCCAGGTACCACCCATTCTGTATTTGTGTTTTTGATTGTTTTTCCTGAAGGGTTGCACCTTGCTTTTGTGAGCATTAAACTTCATCCTGTTGGCTCCAGCCCAGCTTTTCAGTCCATCAGGTTCCTTCTGAATCACACTCCTGGTTCTCCAGCACATTCACAATCCTTCACAGTTTCATGGTGTCTGCAGATTTGCACAGGAAGCTTTCTATTTCAGCATCTCAATAGTTAATAAGTACGTTGAACAGCAGTGGGCCTCGGATAGACCCCTGTAGGACTCGACTCAAAACTCCCTGCCATTTTGAGGGATGGAAAGGAAAAAGGATTTCCCGCATGTCAGCTGATCTGTGATGACTGTTTTGTACCAAAGGACAGTGAAGATACAAGGAAGCTAAGCAAGGGCAGTTTGTCTCTAAATGACATAACTTCCAAATTTTCATGGTGACAGCTTAAATAGTTATCTGGGTTATTCTGTGTTAAGCAGGTAAAGTTTAAAAAATACAGTAGCTTCCCTCTCATCTTTTAACTTGGAATAATTGTTTCAATGACCCCCATCTACACACAGGCAAGGGAGGAGATGAAGAAGTAAAAAGAGGCAAATAAGAGGCTATAGTAGTGTAAAGAGCACCAAAAACTTGGCACTGTAGCACTTTCCTTTACTTAATGGAGACTGGGTGGGTTGTCTGTACACAGTACTCGGCAAATTCTTGGGGCAGAAGCTCAGGAAAAGGACATGGTGGTCACGGGAGGAACTCTAGGGTTTCATAGTAGCTAGGGTCAGGAGGGACCTGAACAGATCATCTAGCCTGACTTGAAGTCAAAAAGCCATGTGCACTTACACTTATGTTTATAACAGAGTAAAAATAATCTCAGTGAAAAGCCTATATAAATTATAGAAATTTACAAAGCACTCTTGATGTTGTAAGGAAATAAGATTCTGCTTTGCATTGTAATCAGATTTCCAGTACTTCACCCAACTGACATTTATAAACCTCCCCCAATAGGTGTTATGATCTAACACTTGAAAAACATTGGTCTCATGCATATGCTGCCCTCAGAAGCAATTTGCTGGCCACCAGATCTCTCCAGGCTGGCCACATCCCTTTTGAAGTGCAGGGTCCAGTACTGGATGCAGTACTCCAGCTGTGGCCTGACCAAAGTCGCATAGAGGAGAAGTATCACTTCTCTGGACCAGCTTGAGATGCACCTTTGGATTCATGACAAGGTATGGCTGGCCTTGCTGGTTGTGGTCTGGCATTGGCGGCTCATGTTCATCTTGGAGTCAATAATGACCCCAAGATTCCTTTCCGCCTCTGTGCTTTCAAGAAGGGAACTCCCCAGCCTGTATGTATGCTGTGGATTCCTTCTCCCAAGGTGCAGCACCCTGCATATGTCTACGTTGAATCCCATCCTATTCTCATCTGCCCACTTTTGTAGTCTGTCTAAATGTAGTTGCAGCCTCTCTCTCCCTTCAAGTGTGTCCACCTCACCCCACATCTTAGTGTCATCAGCAAACTTGGACAGCGTGCTTTACATCCCCTCGTCCAAGTCGCTGATGAAGATGTTAAACGGTGCGGGTCCGAGGACCGAGCCTTGGGGTATCCCACTGCTCACATCTTGCCAGGTTGAGTACAACCCGTCCACCACTACTCTCCGGGTGCATGCCATCAGCCAATTTTTTACCCATCCAACTGTGCTGGCATCAATGCCGCAGTCACTTAATTTATTGATGAGGATGGGGTGAGAGAGAGTGTCAAAGGCCTTCTTAAAGTCTAGAAAGACTATGTCCACTATGTTGCATTGCTTCTCTTTAGACTGTGTATTAGGCAAAGGGTCAAACAATGCAAAACGTAAATCAGGCACTGGTCCTTCCAAGCTAAATGGAGGGTTTCTTACGATGCCTTTCCTTGAGCATTTACATTTGATATCTTGACTGCTACATGGTCTCAAAATAGTGATGATATTGATGAGCACGTACATGGCCTAAGCAGCAGCAGTCACCTTCTGCCATGAGTTCACGTGCACTCTCACCAGGTTCCCTCTCTGCCAACAGATACATTAGGGCATGCTCAGTGCCTATGTGAGCCACATGGAAGGCATTCCTCGTGGATATTAGGGCTGTGCGAAGCTTCAGTAGCCGATTCGATTCGGAGGAGATTCGGCAGTCAAATCTCCAAATCTGAATCGAATCGGGAAACCCGTTAAAAGGTCCGAATTGAATCGGAAGCATCCAAATCGATTTGGAAAGCAGGCTAGCAGGAAACAAAAACTGAGAAGGGGGGGGGGGGGGGGAGGGGCAGTGACTGTGATCTTTCCCCGAGTTCCCTTTCAGTCACAGTGCTCTGGGGGGAGGTACATAGAAACAACATATAAAGCTGTGTGTGAAGTGATCTGTTTCTGTGCCTTTTGTGAGCTGTGTCTGTCTTGCAGCAGCATCTGAAATGTTCTGGCTTGGTAGCACTAGCTAGTCTCTTGCTATCAATTTGTATCCAATCCTTTCCTACTTACCCTTGCCTACCATCCCTGTTGTTATCTCTTTCAACTTATTCTTCCCCCAAAGTCCTCTTACTTGTTCTTGTTAGTGTCTTTTTTTTCCCTGCACAAAAAAAAAAAAATCTGTTTTCCCTGACAGTGCGTCATCACTGTGCAAGAAAGCACAACACACACACACTTTGCAGCACACCAAACATGAAGCATGCTGGAAAGGCAGGTGCCAGGTTTTCTGGCAGGGGAGGGAGAGGGGGCAGAGAGAGAGCTGCAAGTCTGCCCTGCCCCCCAACACAGACACACCCTCTTTCCTGGTAGTGATGAGTCTTCTGTTGCTAGTGGGAGCAAGGAGGTGGGAGTAGTGTCTGCACTTGCAACACCTCCACTAATATCAGTAATAACCACCAACACCAGAATGACAGTCTCCACCCCAGTTTCAGTTCCCAGCATGAGCCTTCCAATGCCAGAGGAGAAGCTGGATCTGGAAGCAGAGGAGCTGAGTGCCAGAGCTAAGAAAATTCTGGGGAAGGAGTGGGAGTCTGAGTTTGTGCTCCACACTCCTCAAAGTTCCCCTAGAGGCAGGTCTCTTCTGGAAGGCACTTCGGAGGAGGTTGTGGGGGCAGGTGGCTTAGCTCCTCAAGTTGTTGTGCCTCTGCCTGGTGAGGAGGGGGATAAGGCAGGATCCCCACCCTCAACCCAGAAGCAGGTGGGTAGCATAGTGTGGCATCATATGCTACCTGCCAGCACTGCAGAATGCAGATCAAACAGGGCAAGGAGGTGAAATACTTCAGCACCACAGAAATGCTGCTGCATCTTGGGAAGCAGCACCCCATTGCCCTTGTTCCTTCTCAGCCTGGCACCAGTGGGAGTGTGCCCAAAAAGAAGTCTCCCTCTCACTCCAAAGCCCCCGTCCTCCCAAAGCAGAGGCAGGCCACCCTGGACTAGTTGGAGAAAGGTAGAGATAAGGGGGAGGGGGCACATTCCCAAGGCAAGTGAGGTCAGCCAGCTCATTGGGGAGATGCTTTCTGTGGATGGCCAGGGTTCAGGCAGCTCATGGTACTCGTGGCCCCATGCTATCAAGTGCCCGCATGTACCACCTTTAGCAGGACAGTGGTGCCCTCCCTGTACAAGGCATGCAGGGAGTACTTGAGGGAGGAGCTGCAGAAGGCAGGGATGCAGGTAGCTTTGCATTTCACCTTGGACATCTGGAGCAGCCGGGATGGAGATCACACCTACCTCTCCCTCACAGGGCACTGGTGTGATCAGTCAGGAGTCGGTGGGCTCTCCTTTAAGCTTAGGTGATGGATGAGTCACATACAGCAAAGGAGATCATGGTGGCCATGAACTGCATGGTGCAGGAGTGGCTCATTGGGCAGGGTGAGCTCACCCATGGGTTCAAGGTCACCGACAACAGGACCAATATTGTGATAGCTTTGTTGGCATCCACTGTGTGGCACACAAGTTCTACCTCATAGTCAGGGATGCCTTGGAAGGGGACAGGGTTCCCAGCGACAGCACCATCACTACTACTACCAGCCAACTCATTTCAAAATGCAGGAAGGTGGTGGGCTACTTCCACTGGAGCATCAAGGAGGGAAAGATGCTGTGGGACCAACAGGCAGAGCTGAGCATCCCTGCAACACAAAATCATGCAGGATGTGGAGACTCGGTGGAACACCACATACCTGATGCTGGAAAGGCTGGTGGAGCAACAGAAGGCCATCCATGAGATGGCCTTGCTCAGGGAGATTGAGATCAGCGGCCCCCTTAACAAAACAGTAGGATACCATCTCCCAACACTGGGGATGCCCTCCTTAGCCAGGTGATCCCCATAGTGAAGGAGCTTGAGAATCAAATGGAGAAGTTCCAAGGGATTGATGTTCCTGGCTGAAACAACCTGCTTTCACCAGAGGTGCAGGCATTGGTGAAGCGGCTGAAGAAATGCATCAAAAAAAAATGGCTGGATCCATTGCGGTCCACACGCTGGCGGGTATGTGCGACCCGGGGGTGAAGGTGAGCATCTGCAGCAACAAAACACTCAATCACTGGACAGAGGTGCTGGTAAACAGAGTCAGGGAGGCAGAAGGGCAGAGGCAGAGAGATGTGGAAGAGAGGGATCCACTTTCCTGTGCCAGCACTCCAACCACGAGCCACTACCAATGTAGGCCAAGGGCGTGGCTTCAGTGCTGGGGTCCAGAGGATCAGGACTAAAAGACTGGAGAGTAGTTTTCTTGTGAGAAATGCGCCCCCACTGGTAATTGAGTGTTCTTGTCTTTAATAGATTTCTGGTGTGCATTTGTTCTGGTGCGCAGTTGTTGTTTGGTCTCTCCTACGTATTTTCCATAAGGGCATTTGGTGCATTGCATGAGATATACAATGTTTATGGAGGTGCAGCTGTAAGATCCAGGAATGGTGATGGTTCTGTTATGGGGTGTAGTAATCGTAGGGGTACTGGAGATATGTTGGCAGGTACTGCATTTCTTATCATGGCACGGTCTGGATCTATTTGGTGCATTTTGGGCTGTAGGAAGTTTGCTTCTGGTGATGAGGTTAGCGAGGTTCAGTGCTTGTTTGAATTTACAAAACACTTTTCACAGATTAGCCTCTGAACTTCACTTCATCAACCTCCTAGATACAAACACTCATGGACTCAATATAGACATTGGATTTATGACACACTGTAACCTGCCTGACATCTGACTCCCCAGGTACCTCTCCACTTTTACCTGCTACATTCCACCCCGCCCCCAGCCCCAACCCCAGCCTGTCTCTCACCCCCCGACACCTCAATTTACATTTTCACTGACTTTTTTCTTGCATGCATACCAGCCTCTGGCATCTTTATTATTCATTCCATACAGGAACAGCACACATGCACACAAACTGCAGATGCTTCCTCAGCTTGCCAAAGGGTTTTTAAATCCGAAAGCTTGCTAAGATATATTTTTCCAACTATTCAATTGGTCTAATAAAAGATATCAGATTGAGCCAAAGAACCTTGTCTGCCTATGTCCTTAGACCAATATGCCTATAGCCTACACCCCTTAACATACACAAGTGATACAAGCTTTGTTTCAACAGTTTGAGGTGCACTTTCACAGAAATCCCTGCACCCATCTCTTTGAAACTTGGCAGGCTTCATGCCCTCAGAAGGGGCTACCATCCCTGCTGTTTTCATCCAAATCTGCAAAAAATGACAAAGTTATAGGTGTTTTAGCTATTCCCCATTATAGTCTATGGCCAAATCACTGAATTGGTGGCAAATCTTCAAATCCAATTTGGCCAAATCGAATACGGACAGTGACTCAAATCCCTGAATCAAATCACTGTCCCTCTGAATCAGCTAACTCCAAATCCGAATTGAATACTTGCCACTTCACACAGACCTAGTGGATATGCATACCCCAAAGGCACATTTGCCTCCTATTACTTACCAGCAGTGGTGGCCTTAAGGTTGTTGGGGCCCTGGGTAAGAGACTCATTTGGGGCCCCTTAGAGGTTTAATTTTGATGACGTATAAGCAAGTCAGACCGTTATTATTTCAATTTCACTTTGCCTGCTCCATGCAACTGCAATAAAAGTATCTCAATACAATATTGACAATACAAAGAAAGAGTTTAACATTGAGATATATGCTAGATTCATTCTAGGTTCAAAATTTCAGGGCCCCTTAACGTGTGGGGCCCCCGGCAGTCACCCAGTTTGCCCTCCCCTACAGCCGCTACTGTTTCCCAGGCATAGTATGTAATATATCTTGGTGGGAGGTAGATGGAGCATGGCATTTTAGGGCCAGTAACTGCCCATGTGCCACTAAACAAGTACATAACACACTCAGCTAATGTGCCAAAGGGTGCTAGATTGAAATGATCAAGTGGACAAAAAGATACACATTTGCAGGGGGAAAAAAACCCATCATTTTTCCTTCACCTCCTGTCACAGGGCATGTGTTGCATGGGGTCTGTACCTCCCCTGGCTTTCTTGCCTTTCTATAAACCTCCTGCACCTCTCCTGCAGTCATGGCCATCTGTGCCTATATCCAGTGACAGATTTCTACCATTGTTACTCTCTCTACATGGCTCCACACTTTTTGCCCCGAAATCCCTGAAAGCCATGTTATTTTCGCATTTCCTTCTGTGGGCACCATGCTGATGTGCACTGGATATCTCCCTTCATTGCAAGTAAGGTGCTATTAAAATCAGATCATTATCTGTAACTCATTTCACAGATCTCTGGAAACTGTGCCAAGTCCTCTCTGAGGCCATGTCTGGACTGCTAGTTGTCTGTTTCATCCAGTCATACTAGAAGCATGAGGGCAAATATCCTGCCTCTAATCTCATGCTCATTAAACATCCTTGACAACCTGGCCAAAGTCCACCTTTAGCAACTACATTCTACCAACACCCCCTCCAGCTTCTGTGGGGGTGTGGTATTTTTCTTTGCTTCCTGTGGTGTACTGTTACACAGCTGCAATATTTCACTCCAGAGGTGGATGAATTTTAGTGGTGAATACAGTCATTTCTTTGTAGTTTATAAATTGCTTTGGAATTGCAGATAAGAGATGTAAAAGATACTGGGGTCTATCATAAATAAATGTATGACATTGAAATCACTGCTAGAGGCAGCCATCTTGCTGAAAAATGATTTCATTTGTGACACTAATAATACAGAAAAATAATAGTCAAGGCTGAATACTGGAAACTTATTTCCATCTCATTTTAATACTACTTTAGAAAATATAAAAAACTGTAATGTTTAATATATTCAGCTTTCATTTGTTTTTAACTGTTACTAATCCCTATTAAATTAGCTCATTTTCAGTTTGACACTGGGTTCTGCACATAAACTGCCCATCTCATCAATGATGGAACTTCATTAACTTTCATCTTCCAGAGGCTTGGAAATGCCAAATGTAATTTATAAACTTTGCTCTTTAAACATTTTTTACAGTATATTCCTGCAGAGAAGAGTTTCTTTCACCTTATTATTTACATTCAGTTGACTAAGGTGGGTGCAAGGGCCTTTTAAGTGTGAATGCAGCAGGTAAAGAAATATCTTAATAGAGGTGGAAAGGAGCTTTCTGGTAAGTTCCTGGCTGGTAGAGTTCTGTCTGAATGACTGTATTCGTGCCATTGAGTTATATTTTAATCATTACATCTCAGGGCACCTACAAGCCTTGTATTTGCAACTTTTTTGTTTATTAAATCAAAATACTCCAAGGTAAGTGATGTAGGACAAGCTGGTGAATGGGAAAATTTAGTGGGTCTTTGCTAGCTCTAGTTTTCATTTTACTGTTTCATTTACAGTATAGAGATTTTAAAATATCAGACTTCTACAGCATCTTTCATTCAAATATTTTATTAAAAAATATACAATAGAGAACATGCAAAATGAAAAAAAATCTATGGTAGGGCAAGGTACAGCATCTTCAAATGTTAATAACTATTTCAAAATCAATTTTTTCCAACTTTAGCAAAGCAGACATTTTTTATTGAGCATCACTGCCCAATTCTGAAGTTTGAAAGTGAAGCTACCTTTGAGTTACTTATGCACAATAGAAGTCTCACTGCTTGATAATTATTTGAAAGCAGAACAAATGCATTTATTTCACACTCTCCTAACTCAGAATTGGTTGAACTGTTTTTTGCTCAGATTTTTCAAAACTTTCACCTTTGGGCTAAGCATGGGCATGAGAAGTTGCAACCTAAAACAAAATACACTGCAAAAATTATAGCTACTTGAAAGTAGGATATTGGAAAGGAATATGAACTATAAACACTTTAATCCCAACTCCCCCCAAAGCTGGGAAGTATTTGAATGGAAAGTCCAATTTTCCCACTTAGAAAGAAAATTCAGCTATTACATTTGGATCTGGTTTGGTATACAGATCCATTTTTCTCTCCCAAATTTAGAAGCACTTAGATACAGTGTTTCAGCTCAAACCCGTCCTTAAGGCAGGGGTTTAGAAAGTTGTGGTCTTCATAACTGTTCTTCCAGCATGTCCATTATGTTTGTATAAACCTCAATTCAGGAAAGCACTTAACTTCAAAACGTGCTTAGACACCTTATTGAACTGGGTTCACACACAGTAGAAAGCATTTTACCCAACACTGAACTGCAGCTACCTCTGAACTGCAGGTATGTCCAAAGTGAACACAGCAAATTACACAATAGCATAGGAGAGGAAATAAGAGAAACCCTGTATCCAGTCTGAGCTTACCGTGGTCATTTTTTAGCTGAAAAAGTAATCAGAATGGAAAATTCACCAGGATGGAACATGGTTAACACCTCAACCTTTTAGGAAAAGCATTCAGGGTGTTTGTTTGGGGTTTTGTTTTTTGTTTTGGGAGGGGGGCAGGGTGGTTGTTGTTGGAGCGGGGGAGGGTGGTTAAATGACTATGAATACAGTTAGGACTTCTGCTCAGGACTCAGCCACTAGGGGGCAAAATGAGCTGATATCTTGTCAAACCACATTTTGAAGCGAAATTGCATCGAAAAGAAAAGAGAAAACTGCTGGAGAGTTGCACAGGGAGCCATGGCAACACAGCACTTCCTATTTTTAAAACTCAAAAGATAGTAAGAACATTAAGTCTAGGGGAAAAATATTTCAATTAAAAAAAGATAAAGATGTTCTTTAATGAATCTTACAATAAGTCCAGAAAAGGCAAATTGTTTATCTATGGATGCATGATCCAAAGGGCTCTGACAGGCTAGCAGGCAATCACTGAGGAGGAGAGAAGGCATTCACCTGTGGTGCACTGCGGTGCTATCCCCAGGCACAGCTACATCCTCTCATTACATGGACTTCTTTAAAAATCACTGAATTCCTTACACATTTTGCCTGTGATCACTAGAGATATTTTTGTTCACTGTTTGTGGATTCATTCCCCTCCCTCCAGTTCCCCTGTGGACCTTTCAGAGGAAAGGTTTCAGTTCACTTCAGAGTGGCAAGGGGGAAAAAAAATAAAAGAACCTGAATTCACAAGTTAAAAGCATATCAGCACCAGCAAATGCCATTTCAAGGTATTAGCATTAAAAGGACTTGGATCTAGAGCAGAGGACAGATCAGAGGACTTGAAATGGAATCAAGAAGTGTTTTGTTCTGTCCATGGAGAATCATTCCCAGCTGGTGGATTGCTGGTGGCCTGCTTGAAGTGACTTGGTGGGTCTCAGGCCAGTCTCTAATCAAGGGACAGTTACAGCCATAACAATTACTCTGGCAATTCATTTTTCCCCCTGTTGCACGCAACGTTTGTAAGCTAACTGTTCCTAACACATTGCAATCTTCTGCCCCTAATCCCTGTCCCCCACTTCTCTCCCCCGCACTCATTCCACCTCAGGATAATCCTGCCACGCAGGGTTCAGGCACAGCAGCCAGGGTCATTGGGGTAGGTAGTTTTCCTAATTTGATTCTACACAAGAGTCTCACAAGCCTCCCCAAGACAGCATAATGAAAGACCAAGAGGAAGGCAGCTCAAGGAAGGTGGAGTCACTGTTGTGTGTCATTAGTGTCTAAGCCTTTGTCACTGGTCACTTTGGTTTGAGGAGGCACTGATGGCTGTGCGTGCGTGCGTGTGTGCACACACACACACATTCTGCACCACGATAAAGCTTCCTTCAGTATCCCCCAAAAACCTGAAACAGTAACCTAGCAACCATCTGAGTGCAAGGCACAGGAGAGGGACTTGCTGA